CTAGGTTCTCTGTCAACTACTTCACCAGTATCGGTATGGGTGTATTGACAGAGGACATGCGTGAATACCTCAAAAATCTTCCCCGTCCTACAGTGCCCGCTTTGGCTGCACGAGCTGCCTCTCGATCCCCGTCGCGCACCCCATCTGATCGATCCCGTTCAATGTGCTCAACATGCACTGGATCTCCTCACTCCCGCCGTTCCCGGTCCCTTTCGTACTCCCGCTCTCCATCTAGAGACCGCGGACGTTCCTATTCTCGCTCCATCACTCCCTCTTCCCGAGGCCGAAGCTACACACCTTCACGCTCTCGTTCCCCAGTCCGTCGTCGTCGTGACACATCAGACAGTCGGTCCCGATCCCGATCCGTCTCCCGCACACCGGCCAAGCGCAGTCGAGCACGTTCCCGCTCCTACGACTCGCGAAGCCCAAGCCGTAGTCCCTATCGATCTCGCCGCTCGGTTACTCGGTCTGTCACACCGCCGCGCCGAGGCCAAAGCCCTCCTACCCGGAGAAACCGCAGCTACTCCAGATCGGTTTCCCGGTCTATCACACCTCCGCCTCGTCGTGAGCCGGCATCCAGAGCTGCGAAACGCCATTCGTCCGAGTCCGTTTCCCCCCTCCCCGCCGACGCCGTGAGGCTACAGACTCTGCCTCTCGCTCTCGGTCGCCTGCTCCCAGGCGTCGGGCAGAATCACGAGGTCGGACCCATTCGCGGACACCGCCTCGGCGTAGATAAATCGGGTGCCTCTGATGCTTTAATCCCGACTTCTTTGGGATTGGCTGGGTGGTCCGAATGTTACTGTTGATAATGAAATAGTGCGTATTTGGAGCGAAAATACGACAACTGTACTTCTTTTATTCGGTCTGGTGCGAGGAATTCGAACTTACGGGGATTCATTAGGAGCAAATCGATTATTCATGGTGGACAATTCAAGGTTCCATTTCCTCAAATGTTCAAATAAACATGTTCAAATAGACCACCTTGTATTCCCTCTATGTAATAGATGCTTGAATTCTAGAAGCCATTGGCAATATTCTCATTTAATGCAGTCAAAAAGGGTATCTCATCATGATCTATCAACGCGATCCATACACCAACCCATAAATACAAACCTACTCAACCTCCCCAGCCTCCCAAACACACCTATCACACAAACAAGTCCCACCCAAAGCCCCAGAAGCCCACTCCCTCCTCTTCTGAACCGGCAATCCAATATCACAATAATGATTCAAGATCTCCGAATCCTTAGCAATACCCCCAGGCCTAAGCTCCTTCATCTCAAGCCCACGCGACCAAACAGCCGTCTCATCATCTCTCCGCGCGCGGAAATTAATCTCGCTACTCCATTCCCAGGTCACATTAGGATCACACGAATGGTTCGCAAGACACCACAGCGGATGAACAGCGCACAGCTCCGGCCCTCCATCCCAAGTAGATAGCCGGCCTGACGCCGTACCACGGAACTTAGCAAAGAGCGTGTTCAGAACCCATGTATCGTAGCGGTAGAGCACAGCGTACGGATCTAAACCCATTTCGTCGAGGAAACGCTCCGGTTGCAGGACATTGAGCTGGAACGAGAAGGGTAGAGTGGCCGTATCGTCTGCGGTAGGCGTCGTCTCTGCTTCCGCGGAGACAGACTCAAGATCGAAGTCGTGGAAATCACCCCAGGTGTACTTCACTTCGGGTAGATCCAGCGCGTGCTTATCCTGCGTGGCAGACATCGCGAGCGCTCTGCCAAGCAGAAGAAGGTATAGGTAATCGGCCTTATCCTTGGGGTCGGGGACATCCTTCCCGATAGAGTCGAGACCATCCTCGAGACCGCAGATCGCGCCATGGTACACCTCCTGCGCTGTGTCGTGACATGCTTGGCTGCAGAAGATGATGTCTACGCAGCCGCCCTCGCAGGCGACGGGGGTTCGGCAGCGGACAGTTCTGGGAGTGGTGCATTGCATGCATCGCAGAGATCATCGTGGAGACGGTTTGTCGCTGTGAGCAGTGAAGATTCACGGAGAATGATCTCGTCTGGGGCGATATCTTCTTTCGCGAAGAGGCCGAGCTGCACGGAGACGTCCATGTTGGAGTCGTCGTCTGCTGAGGCATGCAGCACTGGTAAGGCCACTGCGCGGACCTCACATTTCGGCGCAATGACTGCCAGTCGTTCATTGAGCAGGTTGAGGGTCTCTGGTGAGCGGCGGTCGGGCTCGTGCTCGTTCCAGGGATAGAGGACACGGCGGGCGAAGCCTTGTGCCGGGAGGACACTTGGGTTGATTGAGTCCAGATCGATGTTTTCGGTTTCAGAACCAGAGCGAGATTTGTAAATTTGCTTCACGCGATCCATCTGCACGTTTAAAGCAGCTACTGAAGCCGTTGCAGATCTCTTTTCGAGTAGGGCTAACCCACGCACGCCGAACTCGAATGCATCGCGGTAGCAACCGCAGCGGACGAGACTGCGTACTAGAAGGACGTACACCTGGTCGATGATGGCATCATATTCTTCTTGGGTGATGGGCACAGTGTTGTCGTCGTCTTCATCTTCGTCTTCATCATCTGATTCATTCGTTGCTTTCTCGGGAGGCTGCTGGGAAGGGTCTACCTTCCGCTTGGCGTGGAACTCGCACTCGTCTGGGTCAACGACTGACTCTAGTAGTGCTAGCGCGCGGTATGCGTCTGCAGCAGCGAGATCGGGGAAGCCCAGCTGTTCATACTGAAGGCCTCGTTCAAGGTGGAGGTGGGGGTTGTGAGGGTCTGCATAGAGCCTGGTGGTTGTCTCGTTGCGAGCTTGGAGTATTTGTGATGCAGACATATTGTGATGATGTGTTTACTCGTCTTGTTCCAAGAATGTAAGAACTTTTTATACACTCTTTGCCTTTTGACAGCCAAAAATGCAGTATAAAATTGATATCAAACTGTGAGATTGGGTGTAGAGGTTTGAGTTGGTAGAGAGATAACAGGCTGTAGACTTCAAAAGTTCAACCTATATCATTGACACGGTATCAATTGATCTTTGACTTCATAAATGAAGATTGTGGTCTGCCCCTCTGTAGATCGACGATATTCGTGCGGGCAAGTTCTTTTTATCGCAAAAAAATCGACGATAAGAACGGTCACGTGAATATATACTTCTCTCCAACGGAGGCTGTCCACCGGACGAGCAACATTGATAAAAGATGAATTCCATCGATTATGTCCATCTCGGGAGAAAGGAGATTGCTATGGTAGTCCATCTATAGGCTAAGCGGATTCTCTCGGTTCTTAGACCAAATAGAAACGCAAGAAGTCAAAATGGCGGATAGCGGAGGCTCCAAATAATTGAATACAGGACTCTTTTTTGCGAGAGATTCCTAACTTCCAGCCTAGCTGTATGTCTCTCACTTGATACTTAAAAAGCTGCTTCTACCAAGTCTTCTTGTAATCGGGGCAGACCATGCCATCATTACCTAGGTCGTGGTATATCAAGTATCGGCTACAGAAATGATGTTTGCGTGGTAAGACAATTTGAGTAACATTATCATCAGATAGGATAATCAAATACCTCACCCTCCACATGCTACCAATCTAGTACAAGCTCGATCCTAGACTAAATGAGGGACTGGTTATGTGACCAAGCCGCCTGACTATAACATCCACAGACCCATTGTAATATCACCAACAACCAGTCACCGTTTTGAGCATTGGCTGGCTGAGATTACCACCCCATAACACCTACTCTCATGCCAGCCATTTTTTGTATGGTATCGTTCTTGCTGTTCAATATTTCGGGTTGTGCTATGTCATTATGGTGATAGTATGGTATGCATATCGCCGAGAAAGATCATGGAAGGGTAGTCAAGAGCCCATATGCTTCGCAGATAGCATCAGAACCGGTTTGTGGCAGATATGATTGCGGTCGAAGAATACCCTGTTATATCTTGCTGCGCGGTCCTAGAACTTGCGTGACACTCTCTTCTTCTGATGTGTTTGTTCGTTGTCGTAACTTCGTACGCGGCTTTCTGGCCGAGTATATAGCTTGCAATATCCTGGCTATTCCTTTCGTTGCGTACTCTGCTCTCAATATAGTGGGCAAGGATCCAAAGAGCTTTCGGCTCTCCGTATACTATCGTAGACTCTGCCCTATGGAGAAGATTCAGACTCTCGATGACAACACATCTCCATTCCGTGAAGCTTGTTCTTTTGCCATATGTGGCAGATCAGATCAATGAAGTCTATCTGGAGAGATCACTGTATAGAAATCATGTTAGTTAGCCAGCTTTCTTGAAACGGAGGGGATATTCTTACTGTTGGCATGCTCCGACGGGATCATGTTAACGGAATCTTCGTCAATCAGGGGTTTGAGTTTCTTTGTAACTCATTCCTTTTTAGGTGGCATCAAGAAAACCAGAGAGCGACATAGCAATGATAAGAAAAAAAGGAAGAGAGAACTTTGAGAATCCAAATTCCCCAAGGACCCTTAGCATCCTCCGGGCAGTCAAATTTTGCATTTAGAGGTTCCAGTCATCGCCTGTCGTAGGAAATCTCGGAATTGGGTGAATTTCTCAAGCCAGTCATAGCCTGTTCGCAAGAACGAGTTTCTGAGGCTTGGTGTGATGTTTTCGTTTTGTCTCTGGTGACTCCACAGAACACGCAGAAGAAGCCTCAGTCATCCTCTTACCCCTTCGGCTCTCAGGCCAGACCAAATTCGTTGTTCACGATTGTTGTCATCGTTGGTCCTATTTGCTTTGGGTCGCCAACAAACCAGAGGCGACTGGAAACAAATAGCACAGTACCGAAAGCAAATCCGTTTCCTTGATCCAATTGCGACGAGTGTTGGATGCAGGTTATGGTGAAGGTGAACAAATTGGGTGGCTATGTGTTGTTGATGAGCAGTGCTCACGGTATCCCTGAGTAGACGTTTGAGGTCTTTTGTGAAGGCTCCCTCTTCAACCAGTCCGAACTGTCCTTCATTCCTTATTCTTTCGCTGTACGAAAACGCACCCGTAAACGCGCTTCTCGTCCACACACGCTATATGTGCGCCTTCGTCGCATTTTCAGTGGATCCTTGGGACCCAAACACCACCTCTTCTAACATTGAATCCGCGCCCCAGCAGGTTTCTTTGCCGCTTGGGTACAACAAGTGGCTCTGATGCAGATCCGTTCCTTTTGTTCCTCGAATTCCTTCCTCGCCAGACCCTTCCAAGGCAGCGAAAATATACTCGGTTTGTCTCTGGAGCAGCGATTTCTAGAGCAGGAGATGTAGGTTTCTCTTTGAGTGACAGAAATATGCGGAGGTGCACCCACAGCGCACTGCTGATGATGACACAAGGCACGCGTTGGCGACGAAGACACATTTGTTGTATCCCACCCCCATTTATCCACAATGATTGCTGGTGGGTGCGATTTGCCTTGGTGGTGATGGCCATTTTTGCATTTCTTTTCGTATCCGAATTGGCGACCTCCAGAACAACCGCCAATTTGCGCGGTCACAAGAGGCTCCTTTGGGGCCTGATCCCACCGAACGCGAGAATTTCCGGTGACTTGTAGGTCAAGCTGCGATTTGCCTTGATTGTGATGGACATTTTTGCATTTCTTTTCGCAGGGTCAAGCCATAATTTTGCTTCTGTCTCCGAGATAGCGACCTCCAGAGCAACCGCCAATTTACGCGGTCACAAGAGGCGGCCCCATCCCCAGTCTGCACCGAACGCGAGAATTTCCCGTGTCTTGTAGGTAGAAGATTCCCTACATGAGGTATATGGGAGAAAATCTGGCTTCGGTAGCTCCGAGAGGGGATGTGTGCAATGTTTTTGTGGAGGACGCTGGGGGGTTGTGGTTGTTTGGGTGATGGTAGGTCTTGAGCCCTAGAGCCTTGTTTGACTTTATGAGGAAGGAAGGAAGGGAAGGAAGGAATGGAAGGAAAGTGCGTAGTAAAATATAGGAAGGGCAGGTGCAACCTTGAACTAATGAAGGAACGCCCTTCTTACATTAGATACTGTAATGCGATGCTATAACAATAAATGTATGAGTTTATTGGAGACTGATGATCTTTTTTCACACTGTGCAATGCAGATTTATTCGGATTTCTGCCTGTTCAAGTCCATTACATTACCTATTGAATGGTTAGTATCATTTCCACAAAACGAACAAGAACTCCAGACATACCGAGCAATTATCATCGATGACAACAGTCCGATGTTCACCATCACCAGCAATATCATCAATTCCAACCCCAGGGCCGCCTTCACCTGTCAGGTTAGCAGCTAGGCGCTCGAGCATACTCCGCTTTATGTACGAGTCAGCAAATAGGTCTAGAAAAAGATCATGGGCAGGTTATTTACAGTGATGTGTGCGTCGCTGATGCCACCACGACGCTCAACATCGTTTTGGCTCATGATGCGGTAGCTTTCATGAACTCGCTTCCGGCTCTCGAGACCACCGATCCGAGAGATGTTTTGCCCAACCCTGTTGGATGGATTGTCGGGGTCGAGGATGTTCACACCATTACGGGCATCATCTTGAGCGTGCCGGTCTGGTGAAAAGATTTTGATGGTGTTATCGATTCCTGAAGCGGCGATCATTGGTTCATATGGGTGACCTAAATCACAATGTTAATGTTGGTCTTTCTAGCCAGTAAAGAAAATTACCTTGAACAACATTGACCACTTCACTATCACCTTCGAGGATGTTGACCAGATTGGACGTTTTGCGGTCCCATATGAATATATGACCAGAATCACAGCCGCTGACCACGTACTCATCATCCAGTCCAAAATAATTGATGTCTTTGACGGTCTTGACGTTGCAATGGCCGCGATAACTTCGCATATGAGGTACACACGGAGCATGACGTTCGATATTACGTCGCGCCTTTCGAATGGCATATCTTTGGGCCATAGTGCCACCGGAACCAATCCCATCGCTATCGTCGTCCGAAGATGAATCCGTGGGCCAGCCATCAAGATCTTCATCGTCAGTTGACTCCTCTGCCTGGCTGCCATCATTCCCATCCTCGCCTGTATCAATGTCGCTATTGTCCGAAGAATTTGCATCGCCTTGGAAGATTTCAGGTCGAAGACCATTCTGCCTGGAGACGGAACGACCAGCCCTGATGGGTTCAATGTGTCGGACTCGTTCTTCCTCCACATCGGGATTGATATCGTCCTGGACTCTCTCTTCATCTGATTCACTCTCAGACTCGGTCGTTATGGTGTGAAGTCCGCCGAAAGCATTGTTGACAAATGCGTAATTTACCTCACTGCCGGTCTCCATCAAGATTCCTCTGCCTACTCGCAAAATCCAAAATCTCTTCGCAGAGGCACGGTCAAGAGAGCGGATTAGCGAGGCAGGATTAGAAGCACGGCGCCTGTCGAACCGAGCAGCTGAGTCCCCAAGGTCTTCCAAGGGCAATCTGACAGCATTCCCGAATGCAGTCACGGCAGCTCGTTGAGTTCGGAACAGAATTCGCGTACTGTCATGCTCAAATCTGGAAGCATCCACATTTACGATCGGAGTGTCACGCGCCAATTCCATAATGTAGGGCACTAGGATGGTTTCGATGGCATCCTCTTCGGATTCATCTGGGATTGGGAATCGGCTATGTAATCGTCGAGGGGCATTGCGGCGTTGAAATCCCGCTAAAAGACGCTGCCTGCCGCCCTGCAGCCAGAGAAGAATTGCTCGGAGGAATTCGTAGCCAAACTGAGCTGCTGGGTCAATGGGGTCATCTTCGCCCGGCGCAGGCTTGATCATCAGGAAGCTTGATTCTTCCGGAACTTGCGTTTGGTCTGTCAGCGCATGAGCAAGTGCGCCAGCAGCTTGAACAAATCTCCATGACGACTGGCGATTGCGACGAAGTGATTGTTGGAAATTGACAGTCTCCTGTGATGGGTTCATGGGATAGCTCCATTCGCGCATGACATCGCTCATTTGCGGGAGAAATGTGGATGCAATTTCTAGGGCGGATAAAAAACATCTCGAGTACGATTCGGGTCCCACATCGTCAGACCCTGCGGCTTCCCGAACTGTAGTTTCTGAAAACAGGGCCTTTCGAAGTTTTACTAACCCTCTTGCGATCTGCATGCTCAATCGTTGGGCATCATTCAGCACAGAATACCGAGCCTGCTCGAGCAAACGCTCTGGGTCGGTGCTTAGGACATTATCCGAAAATGGGGGGAATGGAACATCTTCTTCTTCACCATTCTCATATTGGATCCTAAAAGTATCTGGCTCTGCCGAGCGACGATGGGACTGATGTCGACCACCACTTTCCTGTGACGAAGGTGTTGTGGTCTTCTTGCGCTTCCGGCTCCGTGGACTGGGGCGAGTCTCTCTGGCCTTGCCCTTGAGAGTCGATTTATTGCCTACCTGTGCCTCTCGGGCATCTGGGCTGCGGATTAAATCAAAACTGTAGATGTGATCCCCAGACCAGCTAACAACCATCTCATTGGGGTTCGCATCACTGATTTTACAAGCAGTTATGTGTCCATTATCGGCATGTTTCCCATGGTGCTTGCCGCTCGGTGCGAATCTTCGCACGCATCGCGTCGCCTTGCTCATCTCCTCATCACCATTAAGACTGGAAGCGCTTGGTGTAGCCCTGCCCCTTGCAGCGGAGGTGTCCTGTCCAAGCATCCGTCTGTCATGCAAAAAGCAGTGGAGGTGCGCACCACCCAAGGCAATATAATGCGGTTGGCTTGGTGAGCAGGAGATGGTATTGAGGTCCAGGTGGTACGGCCTGTAGGATATTAGAGGTGGTGGAACATTTGGGTCATCATTTTCCAATCCTTGTCGGTATGCCATCAAGCCCTGGCCAACCCGTGGCGGAGGGTATGCACTAGATGGTAGCCGCAGATCCCACTGGCGGACGTCGCCATCCTCAGAGCAAGTGAGGAAGAGGAACGGTGAAGATTCGGTGACGATGCGCTTCACGCTATCGACATGGCTTCGATACAATCTAGCGTTGGTATTGCCATCACTCAGATACCGCGTGTCACTGAAGAACTCATTGAAGCGCCGGCCGCGAGTGGAGGCTGCAAATGCGGAGGTGGCAGCATCATTTCTACTCCTAGCTGAGTATTCGATATCAAACACGCGAACCTGCGAGTCGCCGGCACATGTAACCAGAGTCCCATCATTCGAGTGTGGCATAAACTTGACGGAGAAGATGTTGGCTTTGTGGCCGGTGAAGACGGTGGTGTTGAGCGCGAATGGAGCATCGGAGGAGTCGGGTTGGTAGGAGTAGATATTGAGGTGTTTATCATCAGAGCCTGACGCTAAAAGACGCCCTGACCTCGACCAACTGCGAGACCGTTAGTATGATAAGCATCAGAAATGGCGGAAGTGTAGGCCAGTCGATGAAACTAATTGCTTCGGCCTAGGTAAAAGCTAAAAGCATACCTGAGAGCATTGACACATCCAGTATGTCCACCGAGTTCATTCACAATGTCGAGATCATTGACCCATTCCTTGGATCCGTAAATTCCCCGCAGCCCAGCATACCGCACCTGTTCCCCGCATTCCCGGCGCCAAAGGCGATCGTAGAGCGAGTGTTTCATGATCACTGGATCAGATGGGGGAGAAAGCTGAAATTCTTTGCTAGGTACGATCGGCGATCATCTCGAAAGGTACTGAGCAAGTGGATACCGTCTCTTTGCGGGTGACTTTTAGCTGTCAAAACGGAAGCTACCGTGGATGACGTCAAGAAGATAACTGAGAGATAACTTTTCCAAGGTTACATCACCCCTTTTAAGATAGATCATTAGATATTTATATGCTGTAGAAAGTGACAATGGTGTGAGAAAGACATGAATAAAGTAGGTATGAGGGGGAAATGATCGGATTCGTGATACTGCGAGGTCTAGATCATCTCGGGAGAGGTTGAGTCCTGGAGATGACTTTGGCTGACTCATCAAGTTACCACAGATTAGGTACCACGCAAGCTATATCTGGCTGCAAGGTACCTGAGCCTAAGTACTATCACTCATAACTCAATCCATTCTCTCTTTGTATTATTTTCATTTCTTTTTCTGTCTGTACAGGTGGTTGAAAACTACCTATGGGTATTCGTGCGCTCAAACAAAGAGATATAAACCGTAGACTAGCTTCTCCATGCCCCGACCCGGGGAGCTCTTGTATCCCTTTTAGAGCCTGCCAGCTGTGTCGCAAGAAGACCGACAAAATCTCTTTCCGAACGCACCATTTCTGTTTCTAACATTTGCATAGCACGGATCTCCTGTGCCATGAGTTGTATCAATTCAGCCAGATTCTTGGCCACTCTGGCAAGAGCAGACTGTTCTAGACGCTCCACCTCCCCGAAGCCCAGGATATCAAGGACTTGCAATTGGCGTATACAGAGTTCGAGCCTCACATTTAAAGTACGTAATGATTCGTTCCAGCTTCGCCCAAGGGGGTCAATAAAGGTGCCGACATCAAGACACCCTGGTCCACGGCTATGACGAATAAGCTCCGCTTGGTTAAGCCAGTCTTCGAATGTCTTCACAGCTTGAGAGTACTGTGCACCCCGGCTACCAGCAACCATGTCCGAGACATCTTGTAGAACTTGCGATAAGATTTGAATCTGTTCAGAGAAATCATGCGGACCGCGATGTTCACGACAATTGGAAAGCCAAATCCCTAGGGCCTGCGCATTCAGGCGACACTGCCGCTGTGTTTCATCCGCCAGTACCAAGCGATATTGGCTAGCGACACTGTCGTACTTTTTGCGTAGACGTGTCTCTGAATCAGACTTCCATTCAGCATGGCTTTGCAGTGAGTCGGAATGGAAAAGACTGAGCTGAAGAAGTTCTGTTTGTAGTGCTGCGATATCCGGCCATGATGAAGAGATCAGAATATTCCCAGGCTGGGGTTCGGCTCCAGGGGTAGGCGTTGGAGGTTTGGAAATTTTCTTAGGAGACGGCGGCCGTTGGTAGTTTGAGAGTGTTCGTGCACGTTGGCCAATTGATGGGGTTGTCTCGACTTGTTTTGTATTTTGTACCAGCTGACTCCTGTGCCGCATGTGGGTTTTGGCCGCCACCGGCGGTGCCTTGCTGACACTGACAGGTTGCCTTAAAGAGAGGGATCGTGTGGGGCGCGGTGGGGGTAGCATCTCCGTTTTCTTGGGCGAGGGGGCCTTCTTATCGTAGGAGGTTGGACTGGGGATCGCCTTCCTGGCGGTTTGCGGGGTGAGGGTGGCGCGAAAGATGGTGCTGAGCTCTTTGACGAAGGGGCTGTAATCTTCGCTGAAGGCAACTTCAACGCGCCGGGTCGCATGATACTTTGACGACGGCTGGGTGCCACCCCGGTCTTCACTGCTGTAGAGTCCGAATGTGTCTGCTTTTTAGCTGGCGATATCTCTTGCTGTCTAGTTGGTGACGGGTCCACGCGTGGTTTCAGCTTGCTACTCGGTGGCTGAATCCGCCCGTATCCCGTTGCACGATCATTGTCTTGGGTAAGATTACTGCGCTGGGGGAGCAGGGTCCTTCCTCGGGCAGTGACTCCATTGTCTTTCAGAGGCACACCTTCGACCGGCGAGGAATTTGATGGCGAGCGGGTCTTGTTATTCGTTTCTCGGGTAGAGTCCTTGTTCAGGCTGGCCGTGGTGGGTATTGTAGGGGAGGGTTTCGTGGCAGGTCGTGCTATATTTGAAGTCTGTCGTAATTAGCATGGTGCCATATGTCTTTGTTGGCATGGCAATGGTGGCACAGTGAGGGATGCGCGATAGCTGTGGGGAGCTTGACAGATAAACAAACAGGGGACTGACTTGTTTACGGGGGTCGCGTAGCGAAGCCGAACGTGTTGGGATGGGCATGATCGTACAAGGTCATCAGATGAGAATGGGCATGATGCATTCCAAGGTCAAGTCCAAGAAATTCAAGAAATTCGAGAAATGGGGGCTTTGTGATTAACCGGAAAGTCGGGAAAGCTACTCATGTGGGTGTGCGATCTTCCTGGTTACCCACACTTTTGTTCTTATACAACATAGCTCTCTTTTTCGATCCTTTAGAGTACTTCATAGGCAGTACAAATATTAATTACATTATCCAAAAGAGTATCCAAAAGATATATATACATATAAAACAAAAAGAAAAAAAAGAAAAAAAAGATTTTCAAAACCCATATAACCACTTCACCACAGAGAGGTTACATATCTAACACTGCAGTTTAGACCACAGAGAAAAATAAAATATTCATATGTACATACTATGTAGTTAGATATTGTTCGGACGTTCGAAAATAACTGAACAAGCCCCATATCGGACTGGCAGACAGGTCCCAACAATAGACCAGGTTAATAACGCGGTTTATATTTATAGTCGTTGCCTGTTGTACTTGCAGTCAAGCGTCCCACATTACACCCCTCCGACGTTATATGTAGAAAGCTTTTATCAAACCCAACATCTATCTTTGATATAGTGTATGCCGTTCAAGTGGTAATGCTTCCATATGGTTGGCACGAGTATTGCTATTCAATCAACTGGATAATAATATCAAGGACAAAGACCGGCCGAATATGATAATCTACTATGGATTGGATCTAGCTACGCTAATATCACATTTGGAATGATTTGAGAGCTGAGTCCTGGGAGATGACCAATTGCCAAATGGAGCTGGTTTCATTGAGTAAAGACCTAGGCTAGCAAGATACACTAAATCTTTACTGAACTGTTGGCTTTTATTGCGGATGGACATTTTCATCAATGGCCGTTCAGAAGCGGCAACACACTGCCTGGAGCAACCCATATTTGACCAAAGAGACGGCCCTGGCACTTTTATCTGTTTAATCCCGTCGCACTAAGGCAACATCTGCACTCCCTCAGTAGAGGGTGACGACTTATTTGCACTATATCTCATGTTAGCCATTTGCTATCATGATTGACCATATATATTCCCAGAAGAAGAGCAGCGGCCGACTTACCACTTGTCCACTGCAGCTTCCTTGTCCCGGACAGCACAGGAATGTGCCGCCGTTGCAGTGCTGTCCCTTCTGGGAGCACCCAGCTCTCGCTTCGAGATTTGGACCGGCTTCGGCCATTGCGTAGGCAGCCAGTGCAAACAGGACGATAAAAAGCTTCATGTTTGATGAATTGATTTGTAAAGATTGTTCAAATTTGTTTATGGGGTCTGAAAAGGTAAGGTTGAAGACTGTTGAGGAATTAGTTTCCATAGACCATGTGGGAATTGGGCTTTATATAGAGCCGGTTCTATCTTGATTATTCCCCTCTATTAATTGCAGATCCTTAGGACTAGACGCTCAATATGCCAAGCTATACCTGACTGACTCGCCCTTTGGGTTACATTGCAGGATCAGATCAGTTGACATTGTAATACCTTGAAGCTGAAATAATTAGCCCACCCAACTTGCAGGTCTTTGCTCAAACAGCAGAATCTCCGTGTAGATCGACCTTGGCATTCTTGGAATACGAGTGAGCATCCGTGAGGGTTATCCCTATACGATAGGGATCATGCACCTAAGCCTGCCGAGCCGTGGGGGCGGGGCCCTAGGATAGCGAAGGAGGATGGATCGAACAGCTGATGTCAGATGGTATTCAGTCGAAGTAATACTATAAAATGTAGGCAATTCACCTTTGATGTAGCTTAGGAAACAATCATCACTCTATCAATTCCTCAAACTTCAATTCCCACCAGAAACCGAACTACATATCTCAAAATGCGTTTCTCTATTCTAGCCCTTGCAACCATTATTGGTCTGTCGCTTGCCTCACCCATTGAAGCCGATGCAGGAGCAGCGCTTTCTTCGCGGTCCAATAACTGCTTCACATTCTGCAAGATTGATGGCGGAGTAAGTTCATTTCACTTTCATTTCTTGGATTTCCGGCTAATATGATCAATTATAATAGAGTGACCAGAGTTGCCTGGAGAAATGCAAGAACAGCTAGGAGCAGCACGATGACACAGAGGAAAGAGGACAATACAACGTTGACAGCTAAAACGGCCCCGGGGTCCATAGGTCTTAGCCTGATTCTGTATTGACCAATTGAGATTTCTTTATGAACAACATATGGGGCCAGGAGACTATGATTGGTTATGTTGTTTTATGTTGTTGGTTATTTGACTGGTGTTAGGTCGTTTGTTGTATCTAGCGGTCAAATGACAAGCATCACCATAATCGAGGTACACCATAATCGAGATAGTCTGAAATGCTCCATGTCCAATTCACATTTCTCGTTTTTGCTTCCATCTAAGAGATTCCAGTTTACATTCATGGTTGCCTAGATTATCAAGGGGGCCATTAAGTTGAGCTGGGATGTACGTAAGGAAAATCCGGGGTTGAATGGGCCGGATAGAAACGGGAGATCGACGCTGGGCTGCGTGGATGAGCGAGAAATATGTAGCGGGGGAATCGACAGCTCATACCAAACCTGGGTCCTTTGGCATATGTACATTCATTGTTTTCAAACTTCCATATATATCTATAGCGCAGAATAGAGACTTTAAAATAGGTTGATAAGGATTGGATATAGATCAACTGCTTTTAGTTTATGTTCTCTTGCTACCTAGATAAGGCAATATGACAGCAGTCTGTAGTACACTAACTAATAGCTACTTCTTAGAAGAATTAGCCCATGAAAATAATGTATCCGTCCATCGTCCACATATTTTTATCCATGTACAACATACAATGTTGACATGACAGACCCGAAACCGGACCTCTGAGATACGGACCGTGGACGGACCGTGAACCGATATCGAAACACCACACCCCCGCTCTGGTTGGTCGACCTTATCTCAATAATCACTTGGCATAATCGGCTATTTCACCGTGTGAACAGTCGAAGTGTCTGAATCGAGGGCATTAGACTTCATGTGACCGGCTCAATCGGAACCCCCGCCCGATACATACGGGCCGTCCATTGGAATCACAATGACTCTCAATCCATAAATAAATACCTAGGGTAGCCTTGTGATTATTAGAGACCGATAATAAAAACAAGTTCCAATTTCAAAATGACCTCAAGCAACCCCTCATACCTTATCATTGGCGCGGGTGTCTTCGGTGTATCAACCGCCTACCACCTCATCCAGAAGTATCCCAATGCCTCGATAACGCTGGTTGATCGAGATGCATATGATGCCGAGTCGCGCGTGGCAGCATCATGGGATTGGAACAAGGTTGTTCGCGCCGATTACGACGACAAGGTGTATTGTAGACTTGCTCTTGAGGCCCAAGAGATTTTCAAAAACGACCCTCTTTGGCAACCGCATTTTCACCAGACTGGCGTCTACTGGAACTGTCGCAGCGACTACGCGCAAAATGTCATCACAAACCACAAGGAACTCGGTCGAAATGATGATATCATTGCTCTCCCCGTTGCCGAAGCCAGAAAGCTTTATGGCGGAATCTTTGATAATGCCGATTACACCGGTGTCAAGGAGGTTCTCGTGAACAGGGCTAGTGGCTGGGCTGCTGCCGGAGACGCTCTTCGAGCAGTGACAAAACGATGTCTGGAATTGGGCGTCTCATACGTGACTGCATCCGTTACGAACCTTGAATTCGATGGTCGTGGCTCTTGCACCGGTGTCAAGACTCGATCTGGAGAGATATTGTCCGCCACGCATGTTGTCGTCGCTGCCGGTGCTTTCACGCCGACATTGCTAGAGTGGAGTGCTGCGAAGAGTGGAAATCCTGGGCTACGAGCCGGAGAGCGGATTGTGGCGGCTGGTATTACGACTGGAATGGCACAACTCAATAAGGAGCAATATGAAAAGTTCAAAGACATGCCTGTTGGCTTCCAGGGTTACACACCGGATGAAGGTATGCTTTGCTTTTCCGGGTGTCTTTGCATTTACATGAATTACCACTGATCATCATCCAGGAAAACCCTTCATTGGCACCCTTCCCCCAACTAAAGACCGCGAGCTCAAGTGGTGGGGATCTAAGATTTTCACAAACACTCGAGAAGTACTCCCTGGACATTACATCTCTTCTCCGCCACCCACACACGACTACAACCAATGGAAGGTTCCAGGGCCTCTCAGGCAGGATATTGTAGAGGCCAGGAATCTGTGGTATGGGCCCGAGAGTGCAACATGGGAGATGACGAAACACCGTATTTGCTGGTTAGTGCTTCCCCTGACACAACGCAATTGATTCCTTCTATTCTGACACTTTCAAGGGACGCTTTCACTACTACCTCTGACTTTATCATTTCACCTCACTCTGCCTCCAGAGGCCTATACATCGCCACTTGTGGTTCGTTCCATGGATACAAGTTCTTCCCCGTGCTTGGAAAGTATATCACGCAGATGCTTGAGGGGGAATTGGCGCCTGAATTGGTCGAGAAGTGGGCATGGGATCGACAGCGACCTGACTCGTCCGAGAACGTGGAGTACCCGAACTCTGAGATGAAGCATTTATTGGAACCTGCAGCGAAGTTGTAATGGAAACATTTGATGCGCTTGATATGATATAATGTTATTTGAATTGAGGTTCCAAATAAGTATTTGTATTGTAATGCTGTTTGGCATTATATGTACTCAAAGTTGGAGCCGATGGTTCTTTATTCCTTTGGATTCCTTCTCCTTGATATATAGCCTTATATCTGCTCGTGGTTGAATAGCAAGTGCGGCTGCTTCAGCATCTCCCTTTCCCTGGAACGCCATCAATGTCCCACAGAGTTGTCGGTTGCTCATGCGCGTGGTCTCTACACTTGTTCGAGGCGGTTGTTTGTACTATTCCAAGGTTAAAATATATTTTTAACAGAGCTTGCCTACTTTGTACAAATGAATAAAAATGATGGAATAAATATGAATTCTATACTAAGTTTGGTCTACCTGTCCTAACACAACAGATCAAAGCAGAACATCACTTTTCAACACAGCCAGCGCATTCAATGCCACACAAGGCAGTTGCAAACTAGGAAAGGGAGCCATCCTCACATCCATACATCTTCAAATCCCATCTTGTAAACCTTACACCTTAAAGACTCCCACGACGAGGGAATGAAACACCATCCACTGCGGGGTGATCAGTGAACCAGGTCACCTTTTCACCAGCACCCTGGTTAACCAGAGCGGAAGGAAGACTGGAGCCCTCCTCAAGATCAAAGATCTGCTTAAGGATATCCTTCTTGCCAGCGCCCGTGGCGACAAAGGCAATGTTGAAAGCGTGGGTCACAACAGGCAGGGTAAGGGTGATGCGCTTAGGGGGAGGCTTGGGGGAGTTGGTCTCAGCAGCCACCCAAGCATCCTTCTCACGGAGCAAGGCGTGGCCAGGGAAGAGCGAGCAGGTGTGGCCATCGGGTCCGCAGCCGAGGAGGATAAGATCAAAAGCGGGCACTTTGACACTATCCTTGGCGGCAAACTCACGCATCAGATCCTCTTGGTAGAGATCAGCGAGTTCCTGGGGATCGTCATCCTCAATGTGGTTCTTGTCGATGGGGTGGATGATCGGTGCGCCGAGCTCGGCGGGGATCTTGGAGACGAGCTCGTCGTTCAGCAGACGGTAATTGCTATCCTCGTCGTCGAGTGGTACGGCGCGCTCGTCGGCGAAGAAGATGTGCCACTTGGAGAATTGGGGGGTATCTTCCGGGGAGCCATTGCCAGTGGCGAGGAGGGCTTTGGCTAGAATGGTAGGCAGGGAGCCGCCGGAGACGGCAAGACGGAAGGTGCCGTGTCGGGCAAGAGCGGAGGTCTGACTGCGGAGGACGTAGCCTCGCAATTGGGCGGCTAGCTCATCGGAGCTGGCAAAGCTGTGTAGGTTGGGGTGTCCGGTGGCCATGGTGATATGTGGGTGGGACAAGAATGAGGGGCAGGAGAGGAGATATTTCGTTTTTTTTTTTGGCGGGGCAAGGGCCGAGATCTAAACGCTTTTTTGGGGGGTATGTTTGGCCTAGGCTTGGAGATGGATCAAATTACTACAACATAGGGTAATAACCTTGGAAGTCAAAGAAGAAGAAAAGAGACTGATGAGATAACATATGACGTCGGACCTAAGGTGGGATGGGATTTCGCCCAAGTGGGATGATTCCAAGGATCATCCGGATATCCGCCTTCACTACCTAAAAGGCAGGTTTGCCACACCTTATCGACTTGCTGTCTTTGACTTCTTTGACTTCATGGTCTAAACTGGGTTACATGATTCAAATGGTTTTATAATCCCAAAGTTGGAATGTACAACATACAATGTAAGTATCCAACATTCAGCCCTGGAGAATGATCTTCATTAATTTGCATCATCAGGTTATATTATGCAAATATACCTACAACATAGGTATGTTGTAGGTATGTTGTAGGTAGGGTAAATATAACTATCAATATTTAAAGATGGGAAGTACTCCGTGCAATATACAATATTATCTCAATATTGGGTTGTTGGCGCTAAAGCCCAAGACGCCCACCTACCCACCTACGTAAATGTACATAAATGTACATGACTCTCATGATATTTCCCCTTTCTGACTTAGTTTATGTTTTAGATCAAGTATCAAGTGGGGATAATTAATTTGATGTTCAATCTATTGCCTCCTATATTCTCATTTTTTGGATCAATAATCCGGGATATATTTTCAAAATGTCCACCTTTCCCTTTAGATAGAGTCAAGGTTAATGGTGATACAATATGTATTCGATGGGTTTAGGTAGCAACGTTATTGGAATGAGCACATAAAACCTTGGAAGCAGCACCTGCCCAGGTGTATCCCGCATTGATGATCGGCAAGAGAAGGGGGGGAAATACGAATTACTCTGTGTTGTATGTTGTAGGAGAGGGAAAATAATTAACAAAAAGGATCATTTGAATATTTTCGCTGTTTCATATTCTGTATCCCTTTTTTTGCCCTTTTTTTGCCCATTTTCCCCAATTATCAAGTCAAATCATCATCGACTTGAAAAAAAAAAAAAAAACTGGGGTAAACCGAGAAATCACGGGGCTCAACCGCCTAACCGGGTTCAACTCAAAAACATGCGATTTCCCCCCTTCTTCCTTCAAACTCTCCAAATCCCCAAAAATGAGCTCTCCAGTACAAATCACTCCTCAACCTCAGACCGGTGGCGTTGCTCGTCCATCTGAGGCGACTTCTCCACAAACTCTCGACATCGTCCGATGCTCCCGTTGCCAACAATCTCTCAGCCTAGGCCAATCAGGCCGCAGCGTTGTTCAATTCGGCATGAATTCCTACTACTGCAGCCGTTGCGCAACCAAGGTCGGCTTCGGAGGGTGAATCGAAAAACGATATACGAATCACGAACAATAAACCAAAGTCAAAGCCAAAGCCAAAACCAAAACCACAATAAACCGGAGGATCTGGGGAGTACTGAGTGGTTGACCGGATCAACATCACAAAAACCATCTTTCAAACCAACAAAAAATCGTCCCCCACCGTCGCAAGGGTAGATGCGATTTCCTTTCCATATGGGATACCATTCTATCCCCCGTCTATTCGATACTGTCCTTCGTTTTCCGACTTCGCCTCGGACCCCGGTCCCAGAGTTCCTGTGAGATTTTGTAGGCTGTGCTGGCACACGGCCTACTCTTCATCGATCGCGATTTAAGAATATCGAGGTATATGGAGGATTATACAAGTTGTCTTCGGTCAACTGGATTTTCTTGGGTGCCCGAGATACCAGTCTGTAGATCAGTCTGGGTGCAAGAACCACGGAACTCCGGACCGAGGTGCGCTTAGGAAGTCCTCGCAATTGGTTCACTCATTCCACTCGGTCGGCATTGATCATACATTATATGTTGTTGCATGCTGGATTCTTGCTTGATTTACCGACCCGGGTTCTCTTGCAAGTTCAACAACTTTCTTAGGCGGCAAGTGCTGTTTACATTTTCCCTTTCTATGCATTTTGCATTGTTATTGCACTCCTTGGAGCTGGTCTCGTGTTTTGGTTTTTCTTGCTCTTCAGCGATCGCCCACTGGGTTCTCATCTCATTATGTCTTTCAAACCACACTGTCTAATATCATCAGACCCTCATATATTAAATTAGAATACTACATTTCATAGTTTGAAATATAACATATAAACATGATCCTTTGCCTATATCTAGAGTAACTATATATTATTTAGTACTCCCGTACACCTGCAAACCATCACATGAACAAAACACAACATCCGCATTTGGCATCCGGGGAATTCAAATCCCCCGTGGATGAGAATGATTCTACGATTGACATGAGAACCGAACATTCAAAACAGACTTTCCACCTCAATTCGCCAGTTAAAGAGGTAGTAGATATGCAGATTGGCCCTGTGATCTCCCCTGGAACCCAGTGCCTTGGTCACGTCTCGTCATACAACTTCGTCCCACCCCATGTAAACCCCACATGCTTGGAATGTGAGTATGTAGCTATGTGGTCAATTGTCTTGCCTCAATATACTTTCAACAGTCGCACATGCCCTGTGGCATATTTCTTGTAGTTATTGGTTCCTTAGATTGGCCCTGATTAAAGGAAAGGAACACAGAAGATCGATTTTTGAAGATCTGTACTCCATAAGACACCTGCACGGAGTACTCGGAGTACTCCGTGTAGACCTGTACCTGTGTGGTAGAGGGATGTTAACTACATAGTATTCCACATACTTGATTTTCTGACTTGCTGGGGCCTGCAGTATGACTATCAATACATGCCTGTGTGCACATTAGAATTTCGGTGGATTCGAGCTGGAGTTCCCAAGGTTACCCTTATTTGCTTCGATCATTCCCATCTCTCTCTCCAAAGGTATCTGCAGGTACTTGAGAAGCAAGACACGCATCGAAATCAATAGTCGATGTAATTGATCCAAAAAAGAAAGAAAAAAACAATCTCAATAACTGCACTAACTGCATTAACTGCAAGATATGACTGCTCATGATCCGACCCGCTCGGATCGTAGATCTTTTTCTTAAGAATATTTTTTATTTTCTCTCTTTTCTTCTTTTCTGTCCATTCTTTTACCTATTCTGCTTTTTTTTTGCTTTTTTTCAAGGGTTTCGATCTGACAATCGACACAGAAACCAATGTGATGAATACAGGTCCACTCTGCATATCCTCTGCATGTCCGATCCGGATCTAGCGGTGTAATATACATATTATTTAGTCAGGTAAGCCCTGTTTTTCCCCAATTTGCCTCTATACACGGGTATACCCGGTACTTGATCGAGAATATCCTTTAAAATATTAATAGTATCAATAACAAAGAAGGGGTAAAGAAGAGGACATATTACAGATTAGAACGATACTGTCCTTAAAGTGGAACTATACCCGGTGGGACGGCAGAACCACTCTATTGCATTGGAATATTTGGCAGAGCTGAGCTCATGAGAAAAATGACATATCTCAGCCTGAAAGAGAAAGGGAACTGCTTACTCTCTGATATGACTGGCTACTGCTCATCCTCTGTCCTCGCCATTCGTCCGAATTGTGCAGTATTCTGGGTCCCCGTGATTTCTACTTGCAAGCCATGAACAAGAGACTATAGATTATGACTAGCCCTAAGAAATTAATTCACTATATCATAATATCATCAGAACTATTCTTGTGAAACCTCGACGTATCCTCTTTAAATTTTTTTTTTTTTTTTTTTGCCGCCAACGCTTTATAACCCGCTTGACTTTCGTCCTGCTCGTGGAGGGGTTTATCTTCTTTTCTCTGCAGTTTGTCGGTCAGTCCAATCTGTTGACTTGCATTTATCCGACAGGGAAAAAAAACAAAGGTATGCTTGTGCGATTTCATTTCCCAAGAATATACCTTGATGTTCGGTAATGTCGTTGTAGTCATCCCAGTCCAAGAAGAGTGGGGATGCAAAGGTATCACCATATTTATATACCCTGAGCTAACGTAGACATCCGACAGAGAGTACAACTGTCCAAGTTCTGGACCCAACCGAATACTTGGTCGGACAAGTCGAATCCGGACTATCTCGAAACGTCGACGCACCGGGATACTTGCAAAGCATCGACATCTATCTCTCCATTTAAATCCATACGTCTGAGCTAGTGCGCTTTCGGCACTAAAAATACCGGGGTGTATTGTTTTGAGATATCGACAGCCATGCCTCTCCCCGGTCGTGAAAAAGGTCGTCCCAGATCGCGCAGGTCGGATGATGAGTTTGTCGTATTCCTTCAAGGCGTGAGTTTGATATGGAGGATTTCAAATGTCTTCAAAGTCTAACAAGAATTCCAGATTCCACCTCATTGCCGCTGGCAAGAACTCAAAGATCTCGTACGCCAAACTGCACTGCATATTCGCCAAGCAGTAGTATACGATGACAGCCATGGATTCCCCACCGGACTCGGCCAAATCATCGTCAAAAATGAAGACGAGGCCTGGCGAACGTACCGTATGTATTGATATCCCAGCAATCCCCAATACTCCGTCCTAACATCGCCATAGATCGCCTTTCCACCAGCGGATGGGACGGCCAGAGTCTGGTCGTCACACTCTCGCGGACCAGTACGCCAACAAAGCCCATCGCCGGACCTACCAGAAGTCCAGCAATGATGCCTACAGGCTACATCTCTGGCCACTCCACACCTCCCTTAGTCCATGGAAATATGGCAATGCCCCCATCACCCGTCTCACCAGAGTCAGTTTACCACATTCCAAAGTATGAAATATGAACCAAGCTAACCTAATTCCCCTTCACCCAGATCTTCCAATCCCTCCACTCCACCATATCCATACCCAGAGTACGGCGTCATGATGGTACCAATACCAATGCCACACCAAGGCTTCATACCTATGATGCCAGATCCACACGCCCCACCAATGCAATGCTACCCCCATCCCCAGTAATGGACGGCACAATGTACGAGCCGCATTGGAACATGATGCCAGGCTACCAGATGTCCCCACCACAGACCTACCAACACTACCACCCCCACACCAAAGGCACGAACCCCAACTCTCCATCTTTCTACCCAGACCGACGAGCCATCACAATCGAGAACCTGAGCGCGACTACTACATGCGCCGATCTAAAAACCCTTCTGCAGACAGCCGGCACTGTGCAGAAATGCAGCATTGTCACTACGGACTCGGACTCGGTCGATGACAATGGCAATGGCAGTGGCAATGGCCAGCTCCGCGGGTTGATCATAATGCAAACAGCGGATGAGGCCCAGTGCGCTGTGACCATGTTCAATAATTTGAGTTTTATGGGGTCGCGGATTAGAGTGAAGGTTGATCGTCGTTCACATCTTGCGCGGGCTGTTAGCTTTGATGGCGGTTTTCCTGGCTCAGACACCGCGGGTTCGGTGCCAGACAATGGGGATACGTGTCAGTCGTGGGCGGATGAGATGACTGCTGAGGCTCATGCTGTTGATGTCTGTAAGCCGTTGGTGATAGATGGGTCTGGGTTGAATAGGTCCATTGAGATTCTATCGACGTCTGCACCGACGTGATTGAATGTTCATGTATTATTCGAGGTGGGTGATGGTCCATATTAAAACATATATATGTTCTACTTGTGCTTTGTCTTGCTGTTGGTTTTTTGTAGTGGTTTTTCTTGGTCGTGTTCGATGGATGTAATTTATTCTGCTTCCTTGGTGTTTGGATTCTTCTAGCTATGAATCCTTTAGTAAAGGGTTGTAGTTATTTATCTCTTCATTATCATGTCTATTCTTGGACTGCATAGAAAGCTCTATGAGTGTTCAACCTCTCAGACCCCCTTTGCTTTACTCACACCTAACGATATACTAATATTCCAAATAAACATCCTAGATATCACTATTCATTCTCCCCTAAATAGACCGCACTAGATACAAATCCGTATAAGAATTCCTATGCGGACACAACTTCTTCCCAGACTTAAAGTGTTCCAACACACTCACATCTTCACAATCCAAATCCCAATTCTTTGCCCGCTCTTTATCCCCCAAAGCCGCCAACAAAGCACCAACCAAAACCCCAATCATCCGTGGTCCAAAAATCGGCTTGGCAGGACATTCAAACGGCGAACATCCAAAAGGCATAAACGCATCTCCCTGCGCCGGCGTAAGAGCAGACCAGCGCTTCGGGTTGAATCTCTCTGCATCAGAACCCCAGATATCAGACCTCACATGACATCCCTCGATATCAGCGGATTCTATCTCATGGCATGCACCCATACTCTGATCCCACTGGTACGCTCGATGTATGTGTCTCGTAGGCACGTATAGCCGAAGTGATTCGAGTACTATTTGTTTCGCACTAGGTGAACCCCGAACACACCGCGTATCAGCTATTCCAGGCTCATTGCTAGACGGGTATGCGGTGCCTGCGTCGAATTGGGATTTGGTAGGGTTCTCAGAGAATGCAGTCATTGTATCCCGCCATGCTGGTACTTCTTTCCCAGTCGCGAACCTGATCTCTAGCAAGGCTCGTAGGACGACTCGCCACATAGTCTCGAAGGAAGGAAGGATGAGGTTCAGCGGGTTATCCTCTGGGAGATCGTGATTTCCGAAGATATTGACGAGAGAAGTCTGAAGCACTACATCGTCTTCGAATCTGGGGGTATCGTTCTCAGCAGATTTCAGCTTGGAAGATATCCAGACTCGATTTATAGACTGTGCTAAGCTCAGGAGATTCTCATCGCATGGTTGGTCTTGGGGCTTTTGCTTGAAGAAAAGATACAGCACGACTTTCAATGAAAGTATTTGTGCTAGACTAGCGATGTTGATTCGATTACGGTCGATCTTGGTCTTATTGTTGCTCGGCTTCTGCTTTTCTTTGTGGCAGATGTTATCATCTAGTCTGGGAAAGCCATGCTCGACCCAGTGGTTGGCTGTGACTCTGGCGAACTCCGATACGCTTTGCCACTGCTTCGCCGATAGATTGATCAAAGGTTTGACTTTCTCTACGAACATACTGGCATGGACGCTATCTGTTCGGGTGAAGGCGTTATCGATTTGGAAGGCGATGGGAAGATGTCTATTGGCTATGGCTTTTGACTGGTGTGGTGAGAGGGTATTTGGTTGGTCTTGTTGTTTCAACGTGCCGGCAATGATTTGGCGACATAACGCTGGGTCGTTTGATGTGTATTTGATTTTCTGTCTCTTACCCAGTATCACAATGAGAAGGAGTGATATGGCGAAGACGATGGATGTTCCTAGAGCTGTCGACATTTTCTCTGATTGAGAAACGATGGATTGGAGAATTAGTGGTCAAGTAAAGCCATACTTATAATGCAGATGATAAAAGAAGCCTAAGGCAGCAATGCAGGTTGCATGGATGAAGAAGATGTCTTATCTGCTTTGTCTTGATTGTCTCTTGACAAATAACACTGGGAATAACTAGTGTCAAACAAACTGACGCTTTGTTCCGCGTGAAGATATGCCCTATCGGGCAGACAACAAATGTTGCGTTGTCTCAGAAGAATGAACGAAAAGTAGGGCTTCTACCTTCAACAAACGAGAAGGGAAGCGGCATGTTCCACAGGAGCAAAGTATCGGAATCATAAAAGGGGGGTTCATATCTCAACTCAAGTGCATTCTCAAAAAGACTAGCGAATAGTTGTGTACAATCATCAATTCATTCAAACAAGCGTGTTCTCTTAGGTATTCGTCAATGTAAGTCTCATGTCCCATCCAGTCACCATACCCAATCGTTGCGATCAATCATATCAAAAACGCCATGAAACCCAGGTACTATGACATTTAGCTCTCTTTTAGTTAGAGCTTCTCAGTGAGCTCAAACCATGTCTATTTTGCATGGCTAATCATCTCTGCATAAAGGTCCCCAGGGATCTTACGGACGAGGAGAACGGTCAAAGCAATGATCTCCTTCGCATCGAGGGGAGGGAATGAGCGGAGGATTTTATTTGGGCTATAGTCAAGTTAGCTTATGTTGGATAAAAACCCAACGGACGCTCTGGAACTCACCTCGGACTCTCAAAAATTAAATCTCGCATACGGATTAGCTGGGCGACAATGCATAGAATGTTCAGGTGTGGCCCATATGCGAATAAGAAATCCCACAGATGCAACACCTCTGGCAATGGAGGCGTGCAAGCGCAGAGGGTCAATACCGATGGGAATGCGTACAACTCGGCATGCATACCCTTGGAGAACAGATATGCTGCAAGCTTAGGCTCCACGATCTCAAGACATCGGTCGACTAAACGAAGACCCTTGTGGACTCCGTCCATAGCACCACGGATATATCCTGGACATTCGCGAGTGACAAAGTAATGGAACAGAGCGAATGCTTCCACCTCGCTACGGGCAGCATAGAGGAACGGTGCACACAAGACATTCATGCCTTGGACGTACATTGCCGAATCACTTGTAGTGGTATTCGTGACCTTCTCCAGCTCCCCACCAAAGGGGGATTCCTCTGCAATGCTGGGTGGTGCATTCACTAGAAGCTCCATCTCACGGCGCCGAGATGACGTTGGTCGAGACCGGGGTTTCGGTCTGGAATCGTGGAGTTTCCATGCTACAGCGTTGAGGAGTCGAATCAAGCTTGCTTCTGTGACTCGGCGTTTGAAGAGAGGGTCTGTGGCTAGTGTGCGGAAGGTATCATTGCGAATTTTGGCGTAAGCGGGAGAACGACCGCGGTGGATAAGAGCAAGGTAGTCATCGGTGGGCATAGGAGGAATGTCGAGGAGGACCAGCCAGAGATAGATTCGGTAAGGCGACTATTATTTCGAAGCGTTAGAGATTAATCTTGCAAAACAGACTGGATACCCCTCACCATGCCATCTCCGTCAGCATCTACTCGGCTGGATAGGACGAGGTATTTGAGCTCTCCAAGTCCCTCATTGGGATTTGAACTCTGCGGTCCATCGCGCAGAAAGTTCTCCAAAAGCGATCGCTTTACACCAATTCCTGACCCTGTTTTCCGCGCGGGTCGTCTCTGAGTTGTGGGTGGTGTGGCAGCAGCTGCTTCACGAGAAGCCGCGTCGCTATTTGATCGAGCTCGGCGATGTGCGCGCGCTCGGGTTGCAGCACCAGGAGTTGCTGCTGATCCGGGGTCAGCTTCATTGGAGCCAGCTTGGCGAGAGGCTTGGGTCTGTGCAATGAGCGCGCTAGAGGTCGATAGCACTTGGTGGGATTGGATCTTTCGGAGAGTTCGCATGGTTCGCGGCGATGCGGGTGTGTCGGGGCCCGGGACCCCGAGAGCCCAGGAGGGCTGAGGTTTGGCCATTTTTTCTGCAATCAAGTCTGCATTAGAAGGCCACGATCAGACATCTTCAGGAAACGGGGTAAGATGAGCGCAGTTGGCGGGTGGAGGTGTATCAGATCGCGGTGGCTGGAGCTTTTCTGCCGATGAAATGCGGAAGGCGTCCGGCGTATAGTTCCACTTTTACTATTTACTTATTTACTTATTTTTACAACTAGAATGTGGCTGCACAGTATCGCACTAGTCCTACAGTGTCTATGAAGAGGCGAGTCTTCCTATATGTTCTCTCATCAAATCCCAACACCCACTAGGACCCAGCAATGGCCATGTTGTCCAATTTTGTACCTCACTGTCGGGTGTCGTGTGTTAGTTAAGATTCGCGACCCAGTTGCCGTGGTATATGAAATGGACGGGATGGTAGTAGTGATATCTATTATCAGACATTGGATCTAAGCTAGAAAGCCCTTCCCTTTCGCTCTTTGCTTTCCTTTCGCTCTTAGCCTAGCACCGTACACCCATATGATAAAAGGTGCCGGCACCCCAAATCCAATCAAAATGAACGCCAAAGCGCTATTTCCCCATCCGTACCCCAGGCGGTCATATAACGCTGGCGCAAAGATGGGAAAGAAGAATCCGAAAATGCTTCGTAAAAACTGGCTGGAGGCATTCGCCGAGGCGACATATTCGCGGTATGACTCCATGACATACTGCTACATAGCCTGAGTGCTGAGGATGACTCCACATCCGATTACTGCAGCCCCGATATCAACGACAATCCACGGAGCCATTACGTCCGCCGCCCAGCCGTACCAAAATAGTGGAGGGAGAAAAGCGAAGAAAAGGCAAACGTACATATTAGAAGATAAGGACTCTTCGTAGTGGGCCTTCACACCCGGCTATATACTAGATTGTAAGGAACGCCGAATTCACGCGCTAATAGTGCTATTTTTGTTTTTTTTTCGAGTATGCTATTCAGATAGAGCATCTGCCAAAGATCTCTCCAAATTTGGGGTTTTTTCAGGCATGTTTGTAGGGTATAAAATAGTAGTAAAAATGGTGGGTGGTGTAAAATTTACGTTAAGCAAGAGTTTACGTTAGTAAGGTATGCCATCCCCTAAACAAATCTTTTTTTCCAGTCAAATAAGTACTATCATTCGAGGTTTTGGGTTTCTAGCTTCAAGACGATTATTTCTCTGCGTAGCAGTCGCGATGTTCTCGGCCCTTCTTCGTCATACGCAAGCCCTTGCTCCTGGCATTTCACGTTTGCCCAATCGTCGAGCTTTCTCATACGTGTCAACGCACCAAACTTTTCCAGCAAGTTTGTATCGATTTCAGATACACCGCGACTCGAGGCTTTATGATAGAGCTCTGGAACAAGACGACTGGGAGTATGACGACGGAATAACAATCTCTGCGGATGGCTTGGTACACCCAAATATCACCATTGATTGTATGCGTACGCACGCGTCACATTCTTCACCTGCTAACTTATTTCAGTCTCTAATGGTGCAGTACTAATGCCGAATACGCACTTTATGCAAGAGGTTACAAGAAGATCGTTTGATTACTACCGAGACAACGTAGAAGAAGGTCAGCCTCCGGCCGAACCTCACTATCTATCTATACATCCCCAAAGGTGATCAAAAATCCTTTTGTTGAAATATGTGAAACTGGCTTTCTATCCAATAAGGTACCAATGTTCCAAAGTCATTGATTCTTTTCCGTGAGCAGACCTTTCGCTTCTCCCTCCAACCTACGCATCCCATGTCATTGGATAGTATGTTAAACGAAGTCCCTCAGAGAGAAAAACTGCTAACCAGCGAAGGCCTGAATAAAAATTTGACTGAGTTTTATCTTGAATTTGGGCGCGTTTTGAATCCAGACGATTGGCTTAGTAGGCACCCCTACCATGAGGCATCTTTCGATTATCAGAAAGAATGGATGAACGAATAATGTTTTATCTTCTCGGGAGAACGGGCTCAGAACCTGATTCACAGGTCCTCATTTTACAACATACATAGCTCACTCCTTTTACCAAAAATTTCCAATGGCAATTGAATAACTAATGGTACATGATTATTCATGACAAGCTTTGTATAGTCTGACCTTTGCTTCTACAGACCTGGAATTTGTCAACTGCCAAAAATGATATAAGACACAAAACCCCCAACGCCACTCAATTGAAATCCATATTCGTGATAGCAGTTCATGTATGTGCTGGATCTCCTTCACGATTTGCATTATTTCCATTCTCCCCACCCATGACGCTGCGCACGAAGTCATGATACTGGAAAACCTCGCCCCTCTTACCCATCCCGCCTGACTTCGCTCCTCGGCCAATAAATGCTGGGCGCCCTATAAACCCACTGAAGACATCATCAATCTGTCTTTCGGTCAAACGTTCCTCTCCGTCTTCTGGGGAGGTGTGCAGTAGAGCATCACGTAATTCGGCGGCATCGATTTGCCCGTTGTCATCGTCATCAAACGCGGCAAGAGCATTAAGAAGCTCCTGCGAAGGTGACATTGATGCCATCAGTCCAGAAAGTGTATTCAAGAAAGTTGGGAAGTTCATAGTCCGGCCTGACCCCGGTGGGAAATAGTGCGAGAGCGTAGAGGAGGACGAGTCTTGGCCTGTTCAAACACTTGGATTAGTTCCTCATGCCAATTTCAAAAGAAAATAAATGGGGTCTCTTCCTACCCAAAGTTGTGAGCACATCAATCACATCATCTTTGTCCACGAGCCCATCGTTATCCCGATCGAGAACCTGGAAAGCTTCTCTAATCTCCCTCACTTGTTGCGCCGATAGCTTTCCAGCCGCATCGCCACCTGGGGAGGTGAAGCCACCCATCCTTGTCCCAATAATCGGGGATGAGCTTCCTGGTGACCGCGCTCCTTTCGTTGGGGAAGGAGAGAGCTCTCTGCCAAAGTTCGGCTGGGGAATGGGCCGCTCGCTCTTCGGAGAACGCGATTCACCATCCTCCACTGTATATGATTGATTGAGCTTGCTAGGCGACACCATAGGTGTATATGCCCGGCTGGGAGAGCTCCCCGGGGTGCCTCCTGTGCGACTAGCTGAGGGCGGGGAGTTTGGGGTAGACGGGCGCCGGAACGGGGATGCCCTCGGCGACCCAAAGGATAAGGGCGATGGTTTGAATGTGGGATTGTTGGCCTAGATCATTGTCAATTAGTCTTAAATAGGTATATCATCTTTGAAACCCTCACTTACCATGGTGAAAATTGGGTGTGAGCTGAATTATGAAATGCAGACAGCCTATGACGAAGGCTTATCGATGTAAACAAACCCGGCACAGCAACATAATTCTGCCACCGTATTTCCCACCGCCCTATGCTATTTATATAAACGTACATTTATCCTCAGTTGTAACATAGTTATTGTATGGTCCTGTTTAGCTTTAATATATACAGCTTGGCCTTGTTACATAGATATATAATTAAGGCCTATTTATGGCATCCAGGTAAAATGGTCCTTGGCTGACTATGTTGTACGGAGTTGGTGTTGCATAAATTCGCATGCAGTGTTCATACATAGATCTATAAGGAATCATACTCGTCACATCAGCCTTCGATTGGCTTCCAAGAATGCAGCCACGTATGATGGATAATACTGGTGCACGCCAAGTCAAATCTTCAACCTTTCTTCAGCATGTAATATCTAGAGAGCAGTCAAGTTATCAATGTTGCCTCTCTCTAACTAGTTATGCTATATCGGGTAAGACATAAGTGACGAGTATTGCTTTTTGGTAGATGTTCTAGAACTGTAACAATCGGATGTGTCAATTCTGTGGCAATTTTCTCAGGTAGAAATAGAAAGATCTGCAATGCACTGTAGAAAAAAAAAGCGAAATTGCATTCTGATAGATCGTCCTCCATGTTCAACCCTGGAATGGGTTATAACTATGGATCTTATCGCCTTATCGCCTCTCCACTGTGGAGAAATCGTCCTTTTTCTTAACCCCTCTTAACCCCTGAACAGTTAATTCGAGACATTCAATTCAAACTTTTATAATAATTGGCCCTTGACGGTGTACTCTTTGTGCCCCCGGTATGCCACTCGATTTATAGCCTGGGAGCAATCCTCTATCTCCAATAGCCCCAGAAGATGGCAACGACACTACCGTATCGACCGTCGAACGACTCCCTCTCCGCCTCGAATAACCGCCAAACAAGTGGTCTTCCTCGACTTTCGCCTGCGGCCTCCTTTATCGGACGTTCGCCCAGCAGTTCACACGGCTCTTTTCGAAGAACGTCCACAGACCATGCGACCTCAGGCTTCAGGCCACGCCGCTGCAAAGCGCAGTACCCGCTCGATTCGCCGGAGCGCCATGTGGAATACATCCTGGTTGCGTCCTTTCATATTGATCGGGGCCCGATCATGGAGCACCAGTACCCCGCTGCAATCAGTGGGGACGAGAGCATGCTTGCAGAGCTGATGCTGCCGGATCAGACGCATGTGCGGAGTCAGGACTGGACCATATTCTTCTTACACAAAGACACCAGCGGTGACGAAGAAACGGATTCAGCGGATGGAAAGAAGAAAAGAAAGCGGAAATCACAATACCATGGAAACCAGGCGGGAGCCGATATACAGGACGAGTACTTCGATGAGACCTCCGATGACCCCGACAGTAGCGATGACGAGGGTGGTGAAGGGCCACCCTTGATGTATGTGCTGAATCTTGTCAACACGAAGCAGGATAACACTGTGCGAAGGTAGGTCGTACTGTCCTGTCTGAATGTACGAGTGCTAACAGCGAACAGAGGCGCAGTAGTCAAGGCAATGGCAATCTGTACGCGACATTCATTCCTCCACATTTACAAAGTAAGCTCATATGCTACTCCTGGCCTTAGCACCTAGGCAATTCTAACATTATGCAGCCTTTACTCCTTCTAGCGCTGGAAGACTACTTCAAATCCCCATTCCCCGAAACTCTGGCATCCCTCTATGACGCCGTGAACGCCATGGACCTTTCGTTAATGCCAAAAATGTCGATACTTGAGCGGCATATCTTGCAATCTAGCAACACAAAAGATATGTTCCTGGAGAAATTTGAGCAAATGATCCGCCAGCGGGAAGAAGAAGAACTCCAAGATGGAGAATGTCCGCCGTCACCAAAGAAAATCAGCCGATTCACCCTACCGCGGGATACACATGAGTACGAGTCGAAGGTGGTTTACAATGACATCCCTATACCGGTCAAAATTCCGACAGTGATTTGGCCGGAGACCGTTGGAGACTTCTCCCTCATCAAGCTCATTCAGACGTTCGCCGTTCCGCACGCCACATCCCCGCAGTCTTTCCCAGCGCATCCCCATTTGACAACCAGCGGTCCATTCACACACCCCATTATTGTTCTTGTCAACGCCATTCTCACTCAGAAGCGGGTAGTGTTTCTAGGACACAACCGGCCATCGGGAGAAGTTGCAGAGGCGGTCCTGGCGGCCTGCGCTCTTGCGTCCGGTGGCATTCTGCGTGGATTTACTCGACACGCGTTCCCTTACACCGATCTGTCCAAGATTGACGATCTCCTCAAGGTACCCGGGTTTATTGCAGGAGTCACAAACCCTACATTTGCCAACCATCCTGAATGGTGGGACGTTATGTGCGACCTCCCGACGGGTCGCATCAAGATCTCAAGTCATGTTGAACCTGCACCAGTAACAGAAGGGCTTCTGTTCTTCCAACAGCAAAATTCCCTCCTACCCAACAGCACCTCCAGCACGACCCACGACCCAACAGGTGACACACTATTCATAGAAGACATTCTCCGCAGCATCAGCCAACGTCACGGCGAGAAT